TCCTTAACATTTAGTACACTGGTAGTTATAGCATTGTTTGGTTTGGCAAACAGGAACAATGTTATAAATTGCTTTTTTGGGAAAATACATTTTGGCTGACATCCTATATCATGCTTCCATAATGTAAATTTACACACATGCAGCTACGTAATGATTGTGCAACTCCACCCTTCTGCTGAATACCAGTGTTATTTAACCAATTCTGTAGCTGCAAATTTGCTTGATGAATAAAAAGGTACTTTGAAGCCACTGATGAGTAGCAACTCAACATCCAAGAAGGAACAACTTCATATACAACCCTTACATTTGCAGAACTCAGCTAATTTACACAACTGTAAATTAAATATGCTTGTTATGCAACGTTCAGAAAAGTAAAACTATGTCTGTAAAAGAACTTTCATGTAGATGAAAAACCAAGAGAATTCCAGTTTTTATCAATTTTGTTGTCATTGTATGCCTTCAAGTCATTTCTGACTTTGGCAAAGTTTCATATCCTGGAGTTTCCTTGGCAAAATTTGTTCAGAAGTGGCTTGCCATTTCCTTCCTATGAAGCTAGGAGAATGTAACTTGCCCAAGGTCCCCCAGTGCGTTTCCATGGTTGAGCAGATCTCCAGAGTTGTAGTCTAATGCTCAAATCAATATATCATACCTGCAGTTGCTGTGTCCACCTTCTGTTCCTCATTGCTCTTAAGTGTATGTGTAATATATATTCTCAGCAAAGCAGTCTCCCTCTCCCTCTCTTTCCTTCTTTCTTTCTTTCCTTCTTTCTCTCTCTTTTTCTTTTGCCCTCTTCCCTCCTCCACCCGGTGGAGATGTGAATCTGCAAAAAGTTTAGCGATAATTAGTAGCGACCTCTGGCAGTTTTGCTGCACTCTCCGAATCCCGCTTGTCAGCTTGGCCTGTCAGAAGGCTGAGAAGAAATGAAGAATTCAGAGGCGAGGAGACACAGGTTTGCAGGAGGCGAGGCGTCCCTGTGCTACAAACATGTTGCTATTAAAGTGTCAGATTTTATTTTTATTTTATTTTATTTTTATTTTTTGGTTTACTGTTGCAGTTTGTGTGAAGACTTTTATGGATCAGCAGATAACAGTAATTATCAAAGAGGCTCTTCAGCTAAAGCTGAATCTAACCTTTTATCATTTTGTACTTTGGTTGCCTCCTTCTTCTCCTCCACCGCTTTTCTCATCCAGCTCACCCATTAACTTTCTCTCAGTGTTTTGCTTGTTTGGCTGGTTGACTCACTAAATCAGCAAAGAGCTACTTAAACTTCCATGTGGCTATGGGAATGCATGAAACATTTGACGGAGGAGGTGAAGTATTAATAATTAGAACTGTATTAATAATTATTAATTAATAAGCATTAGCAATTAGAATTGCTTTGTGTGATAAGATCAGGAATCCACTCATTGCAATACCCATGGGCATTCAACAGTGAAAAACCTGCAATCTTTCCAATTTCAGTTAACAGGAACCACATCAGGCTGTTTACACAAGTATATTATTATTATTATTATTATTATTATTATTATTATTATTATTATCATCATTATCATCATTGATATTGTTATTAGTAGAAGTAGTGATGTATTTATTTGCATTCTGCCTTTCTCTCAAAATTGTTCTCAAGGCAGCTTTCCATTTTGAAAAAACAATACAGCCAAAACATGCAAAAAGGGCACATTAAAATGGAATTAAACTATTCACAACATTAAAAAGGATTTAAGCCTACACTTCAAAAGATGAAATGCAATAAAAAAAGATTGCAAAACAATTAAGAATAATTTGGTTTAAAACAATATGGCACCTTCAGCTCATTCTCTAAAAACTCTGTTTTTAAAAGTTGTGGGAATTGAAATGCCTTTGCTCGCTTTACAGAAAGATAGCAAGGAGGGGTCATTGTGGTCTCTGTGCAAAGGGAGTTCAAGAGTCTTGGGACAACTATCAGGAGACCGTTCCCACTACAATTTACAATGAGTTGTGATTCGCTGTATATGTACCGTGTTCTCACTGTGAATGGTTTCAGAAGGGACCCCGATTGTTCAGAGTCGCTTTGAACTGCCACAAATCCAAAAAACCTGCACTTGTTGAAGAGTAGTTTTCTGGCGGTCTTTTTGGAATAAATCAATTCAGAACCATGTTCAACAAATGTGAACGATGGACCTGAATCACATTTTACATTTTACTGGAGGGGCTGCTCAGCTCCTCCTCCTCCAGAGAGAAGAGCTTCAACCGGAGGAGGAAATAAAGAAAGAATGGATCTTGGTGGTTACATATTGTAAAAATAGATGGAAACAGACATGAACGTAATAATAGTGGAATATATAACATATAGATAATGAGATCATGAATAGCTGGGATAACGATGATAATACAGAAGTTAACAATGATTAAGACTGTAAGCGGAAGTGTGCTTAAATATATCAAAATAAACACATAGCACAAATGTTTACCAAAGGAAGTAAATAAGATAGAAGAAAAGAAGACTGCATGTATAGGTACTTTTAACTGTATACTTTATTGAAGTTTCTTGCTCGGAATATACTGTAAATACACACTTATACAATAAAGTTTTTGCACTCAAAAAAAAAAAAAGAGCTCCAGGGGCTCTTTATTGCCAGCAAGAGAGAGAGAACAAACAGGTGAGCAAGCGAACCAGCAGGCGGGTGGGTGAGCAGGTGAGCGAGAGAGGGAAAGTGTGAGCAGGGCTGTCGGTGGGTGGGAAAGCCGAGCTGCTCAGCCTACATTCCCCCTGCCACCCACAGGGGCCTGGATTGGGTCCCTCCCACCCTGGAGCAGGTCCTCAATCTCAATCGCTTCAGCTACCTGGTGTCAACACAATTCACAAACCGATTCAAACATAAATGGGAATGGCTCCAGGAAGGTCCTGTCTCATGTCTCCATCAGCCTTGCTTGTGATGGTGATCAGCCTTGCTTGTGATGGTGGTGGGACTGAGAGAAGAACACTTTGTGATGATCAAAGAATTGGGGCAGGCTCATATAGGGAGATACGGGCTGCACCTGCACTGCAGAATGAATGCAGTTTAACCTTGCTCCCATTTAGATTCCTCTGAACCCGCAAAGTTTTGGGATTGTTGTTCTTGTTGTTTTTTAGATGATTTTAACTATGTAAAGTAATTATTATTTTTATAATGCATTTGATGTCTATTTTGTATATTTTATATGGATTACTTTTGTAATGGCGTACACTATACAAATAAACGTATTTACAATGGTATGGAATTCTGGGAGTTTTATAGTTTTGTACGATATTTAGCCTTCTCTCTCAGAAAGCTCTGATGCCACAACAATCTAAAATCCCAGGATTCATAGGATGGAGCCATGACAGTCAAAGCAGTGTCAAATTGCATTCATTCTGCAGTTTATCAGCAGCTACTGTTTGCCAGATAACCTGGATCTAAATCATATAAATCATAACCAGCATTATTTAAGATGTGCATCTCATTCGACAAGTTGGCAATTTGATATAGATTAGTAGCCCAGTTATAAGCACCTTGACTTAGAAATAAGTCCTCATTAGTCCCATAGGACTTATTGAGGACAAATTGTTTTCAGTGAAACCAAGGAAATAAACTGCATGTTCTCCCTTTCCATATTCTTCCTCTTCCATCATTTCTTCTTTTAAGATCTTCTCTCTCCTTTGTCATTTTCCCTCAGCAAAAACAAAACAAAACAAAACAAAGCCCTGTAAAAGTTTCCCAACTTTTTAGCTATTCCACGTTGAAAACATGCTGGAATCCTCTCATCATTTTAGCCATTCCTTTTCTCAAAATCTCCAAGGTAAATCTCTCAAATTGGAATGTCCCAATAGACCTTGACATATACATTTAGGCAAAATCCATCAACAGTTCTTAATTCCCTTCTCCCATGTATTGTATTTCTGTACCATCTCTGGAGTTCACACACAAGACAACCTAGGTTGGCAAAAGACAGAAACAGGGGTATGGCACAACTCTTCAAGTCTACTGAATCCATATTTTTCTCTCCATGCAAAAACATAGCTATAGTGGAGAAGTGTTATTATTATCAAAACTATCCAGCTTCCCTCTGCATTCCTCCAAAGTTTTGTCTGAAGAGTCAGCAAATGTAGAGGCAACTCCCCAGCAGTTGCTTTCATTAGGCCACATGTCCTAGTCTGACATAAATCTTGTCTCGCTTGCAGGTGGGTCAGCAGCAAAGTTGGTTAGAGTAGATGCCAAAGCCAAACAGATCACATATTAAGATATCTGTGGCATCTAATAAAAGGTACTGGGCAGGAAAGAGGTACAAATCATGATGAATTAATTTAGGACCAGCCGACAAAGATGCAGTATAAGTCATGCAGGAGGATGAGTTAAACACTAGCCTTTTAAAAAATATGGTGTCATGTCAAGGCTGTCTTCCAGGCAGGCTTGGCTTTTTGGATTTGTAGTATTTCATTGCCTAGAAGAGCAGGATGCACGGATGACACAGAGATGGCAGATGAGGATGGATCAGGGGGTTCAGATATCTGATTTCCAATTCCAATGGAGGTGGTCATGCTAAGAAGTAAAATGATGACCACCTTAGGAGACACATGTCTGAACCTCAGGCCCTGCTCAGAGTATGGTGGGATAGCAGCCTGCTTCTTCTCAGGTGGTCTAAAATCTAGTCCCATTTCTTCCACATAGAGGGATGTAACTTCATCAATGCTTCTTTTTAATGTCTTGTCACACTGTATAATTATACCAATATGATTCCACTTTAACTGTCATGGTTCCCTCCTATAAAGTCCTGAAGTTTGCAGCTTAGGGAGAGGTATTGAGAATATTCTGGCAGAGATTTCCAGTGCCTCATGAAACTAGAATTCCCAGGGTTCCATAGGATGGAGCAATGGCAATTAGTGCAGGGATAATGCTATAACTATATAGTGTGGAAAAGCCCTGGATTGAGCAATTTGAATCATCACTTATTTGATGTCCCCATGCAAGAATGAATAATTTCAAAAGATGTCCCCTTGCTGAGCCAGCATGGCATAGTGGTGTGAGTATTGGACTATGACTCTAGAGACCAGGTTTTGAATCCTTGCTTGCTCGTGGAAACCCATTCATGCTAAGGCAACCCTATCATGCTGTTTTTGAGGCTGAGAGTCACAGACTCTCAGCCTCAGAAACAGCATGATAGGGTTGCCTTAGGTTTTCCATAGGTCACAAATGACTTAAAGGCATACAACAGCAATAACAATTCCTTGCTGGGCAAGCATACACAAATTTGAGGACATTCTTTATTATTAGTTTTTCACTTTGGGTTACAGGGATTTTTAAAAAGTTTTGTAGGTAATTATTTATTGTTGCTGTTATTGCGCACCTTAAATAACTTTCAATTTATAGTGACCCTTGCCTAAGGTGACCCTATCACAGGGTTTTCTTGCCAATCCCTGTAACCAAAAGTGAAAAAAACCCATAAAGAATGCCCCCAAATTTGTATATGTTTGTCCAGCAAGGAATTTATTTTAAGGAAGTTTGCCATTTATTTATATATTTTATTTATTTAATTCAAGGATCTATATGCTGCCTTTCTCCCACAATGCCTTCCTCTAAGGCAGAGAGAGTGTGACTTGCTCAGTGGGTTTTCAGAGCTGAGTGGGGATTCAAACCCTGGTTTCCAGAGTCATTGTCCAATACTCAAACCACTACACCACATTGGCTTTAATTTATAATTACAATCCAAGAATAATTGCAATGCAAAAATGAGAAACTAATCTTCATATAGTCTACTAAACAATGGTGGTATACTAAACCTATGAGCACCTGGGAGACGTAATTCTTCCAATGCTGAATGCATTTTCCCAAAACCTTTGAGCTTTGTGTCCATTTACTCTGACATTTCATGTGCTGGAATGATGATGGAAGAAGAAGGGAAATGGGATGTTCTTCTCCCAAGGAAGACTACCATATCACTTTCCCAGGAAGGGAATCCAGGGAAGCGCTGATAGAGGCTTCACAGGGTTGTTTAGTTTTTGTTCTTTGTTTTGGAGACATGCAGACAACAAAGTTGAGTTTGCAAAGTAAATCTTTATCCTTTGGATCAACATCATGCTACAGAAGGCTCTAGGGGCCTTTAAATGCTCATGTGTCAATTTGAATTGGCTTAGTACAACATGCTTTTCTGATCCAATTTTGGGAGACCATTGGTTCTTGGGGTAAAGAGAAAGAATCAGAGGGTTATATTGCTGCTTTGGAAACTGTGTGTGTGTTTGAGTGTGCTCCTCATTTGTTAGACCTCCAAGTGTTTTGGGCTTTAGTTCCCTGGAATTCTGCAGGCTGAAGTCCAACACATCTGGAGGACCAAAGTTTGGGAATCACTGTGTTAGACCATGAGCCCACTGACATTATGGAATTATAGCACTATTATCTCATTTTAACAGCCTTGGTTCCATCCTGTGGAAACCTTGGATTTGCAGTTTAAAAAGGGACTTTTAGAAATCTAGTCACAGAACTCTACTGCCTCACTTAACTACAAACTATAGATCCCAGGATTCTATAGGATGGAACCATGACAGTGGGATAATAGCAGTATAATTTTGGAGGGTGAATGGGCCTTTAGTGATTCTTTTTTAAATTTGAATGGTGCACTATCTGCAACTTTGGTTGATGCTTAATGACATCACCAGGTGCTTCGCCTTTTAAAATCATCCTTGGAACATCATTAGGGCATGCCCTTTGTGACATCACAAGGGGTCCTCCCTAGAGGGTTGCTTTGGGTCCTGACAATCAGAGTCTGATCTGGTGACCCTATTTGCAACCAGCTCTTCAGTTGTCAGGTATAAATCATGGTAGTTTTTTTTTTTCTTTTAACAAAGGGCCTCTGCAGATGGTGCAAAGTGCCGTCTTGGAGGCAAGGAAGGGGAGGGGCAACTGCACGCTGGCTGCCTCAACCCCTTCCCGAGGATGTCATCAGGGTGTGCGCTGTTGCACATGATGCCCTGATGACATCCTCCCATGCTACATCAGAAGAGATTTAGAAGAGCCACGCGTCGGTTCTTCCAGCACCCTTTCAGTGACTTGAGAAAGGAGCGCTATTTTGATGCTCTTTTCCCAGTTGCCAAAAGGGTTGATTGGGGCCGAGGCATGGGGCAGCCTCAGCCCCAATCCTCCTCTTTCCAGGGTGGCCCATGGCTGCCTGTCTGCATCCCCCCCAAAGTCAATGCAGAGGTCATGGAAGGATGTACATTGGCAAGGATGAGATGCTGCTGTTGTATAAATGAACTCAGGACTTGAGTCTAAAGTCTATCAGTTTGGTGCTTCCATAGGGACTGATTTCACTTAACATCAACAACAAAGAAGCAGCTTAATTCCTCTCCAATGTGCTTTTTTCCCTCCCAGTAACAGCAAAAGGCTTTTTCCATCTCTCCAAACCCATTGATTAGTGGGGATTATCAAGCCATCCTGATTATCAGCACTGAGTTGCTTCAAGAACTATCAGAGGCAACATTAAATTGATTAATCCAGTAAAGCTTCCCTCGTAACAAGACACATCCCTCCTTCAAATTATCCAGCTATTTGTACATTTGTCTCAACAGGAAGGGGTCATGACCATACATGTGTCTGGGAGAGCCTTCCCTTTTCTAGAAGAAAAAATTCCAGGTGGTTGGATTGCATTCAGTAAGAGCATCTTGTTCAGTTTGAGATGTTTACCTAGAACGGTAAAGTTTAAGCATGGTGTGTGTTTACAATAACGTGCTTCGTGAAATGCACACTCATTGGAAAAAATGATAAGGCTGGCAAAAGTGGAAAGCCTTAGGAAAAGAAGAAGAGCACATTATAGGTGGATTCATTGAATCAATAAGGAAACCCATGGCCCTGAGTTTTCAAGATCTGGGCAGGGTCTCTTGGAGGTCACACATTGACAGTGTTGCTATAAGTCAAGGATAGGCAAAATGCATCATACAAACTACATGTGACCCTTGGAACCCCAAAATGTGTTCCTGTGAAGTTTCCTTGAAGTTCCCAGGCACTCATTTTTAATTATTTTGCACCAATCCTAAGGCTTTGTTTCTCCCTCAAACTGGCCCCAAATACCCAAAACTAGCCACAAATTAAGCATTTTACTAAATGTCTGCCCCCCAAAATCCTCCATGCCCCGCAGATGGCTGAAAATCAACCCAAATGGTATCTTAAAGTGTTGTTACTTCATTTCCAATGCACAGAAACACAAGGGTAGGCCTGCCAGGGAGGGTCATGGGATGAAATAGTCCCAGCCCCCTACATAGTTGCTGCTTCCATTATACATCAAAGCTGACAAACAACAATAACAAAGGCACTAATTGATGAACTGCATTTGGGTTTGAGCATCTTCTGATTCTTTGTTGCTAAGGTAGGGGCTTCATCTGTGTAAAGTGTGAGATGGGTGGAAGAAATTGCCAAAAGAGATATTTGTTTTGTTGTTGTTGCTGACTGTCATCAAATTAATAATAATAATAATAATAAATTTAGTAATAAATTTTATTTATATCACTCCCCTCTGCTAGGCAATCGGAGTGGCAAACAAGATTAAAACAGAACAAAGTTAAAACAATTCCCTCTTCCCCCATCCCTAACCCACCCAACCATAAAAATCAAATTAAACTGTATAAAAAATGACTTCAACTTAGAGTGACCCTATGAGTGGAAGACTTCCAAGTTACGAGGTCTTGCAGACTCAGAACAGTGGCTCATTTGATTGAATCTATCAACGTCTTCTCCTACTGCCTTCCACCTTAGCAAGCATTATTATCCTTTCTAGTGAGTCCTGTCTTCTCACAATATGGCCAAAAAGTACAACAGGCTCAATTTATTGATCTTGGCTTCTAGGGACAGTTCAGGCCTGATATGCTCTAGGACTCATTTTTTTATCTTTTATCAGTCCACGATATCCACAGAACTCTTTTGTAGTGTCACATCTCAAATGAGTTGATCTCCCCCATCAGGTGTCTTCACTTTCCAGCTTTCATAACCAGGCTTATAAATAGGAAATACTATTGCATGGACATGGTTGGACATAAATCTACATTCACTTTTTGGATGGTCCAGTCTTACATTCTGAGCATGACTGACTATGAAAAATCAGTCAGTGATAATGGAATAGTATTTCTGCATGTTTTTCATCTCGTATCATTGGTAAAGATGTACATTTTAACTAGGTTTGTCTATACAATGTAAATGGGAAAAGGCAATACTTTCCTTCTTCAGCATATGGCAGTTAGGTCTTCCCCTCCCCCATTCCAGAGAGGTTTTTCATTTTTTCAAGACTGTTTTTGCACATTTCCATAACACAGAGAAGCACCGGGAAAAGTAATAATGGGTGCCTTGTGCCATGAACTGGTAAAAGACATCCTGGATAGTAGTTTGTCTCTTTGTGATCTGTTAGTCCATATTTCTGTGCTTTCTGTGTGCCTTGCTTAGCTTCACAAAGAGAAAAGAAACTAGTTCTGTGCAGACAGAGACATTTTATGGAAAGTACAAATGTGTGTGTGTGTGTGTGTGTGTGTGTGTGTGTGTGTGTGTGTGTACACACAAAAAAATTACTCAGTATTTTGTTCTTACACTGCAGGGAAAAACTCATGGGAGGGATTTGCAGATCCTCAGCAGCTTATCTTATTGTGCTGAGACAGTCTATTTTTGAACAAGGATCTCAGCAATGGGGAGATTTTGTCACATTCTTAATTGATAGATGAATGCGATGGAACCAAACCTTTGTGCATCTTTGCTTAAATAATATGTTACATATGATGGGTATTCTGTTAGCTGCAGAGGCAGACACAAACTGGAACTCTCTTAGGGTCAAAATCTAACCAGATACCCCTGAACAAGTCTTTACTTCTTCCATAACCATTCTAGGAGTATGCTGATGAGGTGGCTCAAACTCATAGGTATAATTCAGAGATCTTGATCCAACAGGTACTGGTTGCTCCCTTTCACCCTACTGTTACTGTAGCAGAGAAGTAAAGTCTGAGTGAGCACAGTATGTCTTCTTATATTTTGTATAAAATAGGATTTCTTGATATAAGAATGGAGTCAGAGTCCTCTATATGATCTACGCACTAACATTTTCTT